AAGTGTGTCACTTACTCCATGGAAAAGCAGGACTGTAAGGTCAGACCATGCATACACACAGGTAAGCTCCCCCACTGGGCACCACAGGACATAGCAGCTGACTTGCCCACATTATCCAAAAATGTTACAATTCTCTGAATCATAAATAACCCCTCACTGTCTCAGTCATTTCCTTCTCCTCTTATCCACCTCACCAAAACATGGCACAACACTGAAGTTGGGCATTTTACTTGGATGTTAAAAATATATAGGTTCATTCTTTTAAAAATTGTAAGCATTATATGGACATATTTTAAGTAGCAATTAGCATAGCCTATATGGTAGGCAAAAAAAATGCCCCCCAAAAATGTCCACATCCTAATTCCCGAAACCTGTGAATATGTTAGCTTACATAGCAAAAGGAACACTGCAAGTGTAAGTAAGGATCCTGAGACGGGAGGTTATTCTGGATGATCTGTGTGGGCCCGATGTAATCATAACGGTCCTTACAAGATGGAGGCAGGGGAGCCAGTCAGAGATGTGACAATGGAAGCAGACCCTGGAGTGACACCAATGCTGTTAGAAAGCCATCCACTAAGGATTGCAAACAGCTTCTAGATTCTGGAAAAGGCAAGGAATGGATTCTCTCCTATAAGCTTCCCTGTTGACCTTGATTTTAGCCCTATGAGACCCATTTTCAGACTTCTGACCTAATAAATGTATGGTCTTAAAGCCTCTCCCATAGGAAACTCAGCCTAGAAATGTGGTGTCAGAAATGCTTAACTCTCTTGATGCAACTAGTGTCAATTCCGCTGTATCTGCATTGAGGAAGCCACCAGCAAACTGAGATCCAGGGAACCACAGAAAGGTCTCAGTTGACTTCAGTATTCGACTTGGCATCCAGTAGAGGAAGTGTAAAAGACACCAGACCCCTCCCTGCCTGGACCGCCTCCCCCCTCCTTCACAGAGGTAACATTTACCATCGCTGATGTTCCACTGTTGCTGGGGACCAGGTAGCCTTGGTGTCCACACAAAGAAACCCTAAGTGTTAATATGATTAGCCGCTGCCTCAAGTTACCTGATCCACAGATGAATGAGAACCTGCAAAGGACAGAATTAGCTCACTTGGCATTTTGCAAAAGAAAAAAGAAGAGCCATAAAGGGACCTCCGATTGTGAGAATAGCTTTTAATTTTAAAACAATTGAAGCAATAAATCATCCATCTCTCTTTCCATCACAGGCAAATACGCTCCCAAAACATCTGAGATATTTTAAACAACAAATGTGACTAGTGCAAAATAAAATGAGTACAAACTCTTTCAGGAGCCAACATCAACACCTGCTGGGCAGGTAGGCGCAGGTGCCAGGCGCAGCCTCTGCTGAGGCCAAGAGGAGCGGTGCGATTGGAGCGGCAAGATTTGCACAGTATTTCAACACAACAGGCTCTGAACAGGCTGAACAAGACCTGGGGAGGGGAAACCACAAGAGAATGTTGCCTAAAGTGAACAAATAGGCCCACACCCTCACGTAGCTAACATCCTTGGCGGCTGGAAGTGGCTTGAAAAATAAGCACAAAGTTACTAGTTTCTAGGAAAAGCTGAAGATACAGAATTTGGGGCTTCTTTACTTTTATCTTTTAACTTGGGTCTCATATCTAATGGTTTTCTACATAGAAACACCTTCTGCTTTCTGCGAGGCAGTCCACGCCTCACAGTGCGCCCGATTCTAGCAAAAATTTTGTGTGGCTTCTACTTAGATGGTTCAGAGAATTACCTTCCATACCTAAGGCATTTTGCTGCCAACCCCACAGCGTCTAAGGCTGGAGAAGCCCTGCCCCATAGAAGTACAATGAGAGCCACTTGTCTAATTTTAACTTTTTTGGTAGGCATACTAAAAAAAGAAAAAAAGGAATAAGCGAAATTTTAGTAGGATCTTATTATTTACTACATCTAAAACGCTGCAATTTCAACATGGAATCAATATAATCAACGTTGATGAAATATTTTACATTCTTTTTGGTACCAGGGCTTCAAAATCTGTTCTGTATTTTATGTGCACAGCACAATCTTGATTTGGACAAGCCAGATTTCAAAAGGTCACTAGTCACATGTGGCTATTGACTACTGCACTGAAGAGCGCAGGTCTAGAGACTCGTAATGCAAACTCAGGGTGATTTACTGAGTAGGGAATCTCCGTGGCACGGTGTAGGTGATCTTACACACTGACTTAAGAGTACAGAACCTTGTTCTGTAACCAAGGATTTCAGACCTAAGGTAAAGGATGGAATCCCATTTTATCTAACCCTATCCCCTGGTTCTGCGCGTCGTCACCTGCCACCTCCCCACAGACTATGTGATTTAGCAAGTGTGATTGCCTACAAGATGAAAAGACATCTTTCTGTGATAGACAACTAACTCAGCACTTATTTGGGGATCATAGCTAGAACTGAGCTAGAATAAGAAAATGTTCTATAAATGTGACAGACTTACCTGAAGGTAGTTCAGAGATTTATCAGCGCAGGGCCACATTTTAAATGGATTGTTTTTTGTTTGTTTTTTGAGGGGAATGGACTGGGAAGTGGAGAGTTTCAAGAGTGAGGGGGAAAATGTGGTCATTACCAAAGAAGGTAATTTTCCCAAGAAAGTCTGAACAGAAGTTAGGGTGGGGACACTAAAAATGAGACAGGTTCTAAACTGGGGTATATGAGCTGTAACAAATAAAAGCCATAACATCTAACCTCTGTGTGATCCCTCACATCTCACATGTCTGACACCAGTGGTAACCATAGGAAAATAAAAAAAGAATCCACTGTTAGTACAGGAAGGGACTTCAGAGCTTATCTGGTCTAACCCACTCTTTTTAAAGGAAAAGGCCCAGAGAGGTAAAGAGACTCAGCCCCATCACACTTAGAGGTGGAGTCAGGCTGCAAAGCCAGATGCTCTCACCATGTACTGCATCTGGCTCTCACCAAGTGAGGCTCCGTCCAGTTCAGGTCAAGGGACTAAAGGATGCTGGGAGTCCCAGGCTCAAGCTGCTCACACTGGACTTCCTGCAGCCCAAAGTGAGCACAGGGGAATGGCAGGCACATTCTCTTGTAGGTGGGGGAAAACAGCCAAGTCAATTCAAAATATTGAAGCAATATTGATGTAAAATGGCATTAAAACATGATTCTTCCAATAGTCCTTTCTGCATACATTTTTCCCCTTAAAAAAAAAATCCCAATTTGAACCAAACTGGATTTCTGATTAGTTATATGGGCATTTAAGTCAACTGACAAAATAAAAACTTTGATACATTATATTTTCCAAAGACACATTCATTGGGATTTTACACAAATGGATATCAAAAGATATTTACAGGAAAAGGTGCTCTCTTTCACACATACACCCACACCCAGTAAGAATTTCACAATGATACCACCAAGCCTCACACAGAGGACTCCTAACAGGCTGATAATCAGTTGACCAAAATCCACACATTATTCTAGTACTGAGTCATAAATAATCTCATCCACATATGCACGTAAAATTAAGCAGTGTGTTCCAGACTTTTATTCCAGGGAAACCTGCCTTGTTTGTATATATTAAGGAAAACATATAAATACATTTTTAAGCAAGAAAGAAACTCATCATTTGATCCAGTTTTTCCCCAGTTCTCCACCTGAAATAAAGAATAGCACATATACAAAACTTTGCCTTATAGAAATAGCCCTTTGTTTTGTGAGGCAGAAAAAAAAAAAAAAGGTGGCCATATTACACTTTTTTACAATATGTTTAGGCATCAAAAGGGCTAAACTTATTTTTCTACTTAATTAAATATTGTATAGCCTATACTCTCCTATACTGATTTTACACCATTCATTTTGTAAGGTTTTATTATAAAATTTTTATTTTGTTCAAAATACACATGCTATCTTTGTGCCATTTCAATCCAAATCCCCGATCACCCCCTACCCTCCCAAAAAAGGCCTTCGCTTTGTGATAGCACTGAAAACCAGTCATTTTTGATGTGTGTTGAGAGTCATTATTCTGTGATACTCACTCAGCCCTAATGAGACTAGGTTTTGTAAGGCTGCTCAGCGTGGGGATTTCTACAGGAATCAGGGACTCGTGTAATAACAGAGTGGGGCTGCTTCAAGATGTCCGAGTCAGCATTAAAAGGTGACACCAGTGGGCAGAGTTTAGTAGAGAATTACTGCACCATGAGCTCCCTCCTTATGCCAATCTCATTTGTTCCCAAACTGAAAACATCAGATGAGAGACAGGAGGGAGCACTCTACTAGGACCCACCATGGCACACCGCCTGCTACTCTTTAAAGGTTCATCGTATCAAATGTCACCGTGTCCTCAAAGCACAGAGGGAAAGAGAGAGCAGGTGTCGTCACACCATTGTGCAGACAAGGAAAGTGAGGCACAGGGAGGATGAGGGACTTGCCCGGGTAGGAGAAGCGCCCAGCTCTCTGGGCTGCAGCCTCGGGCTCCACATCCCTCACTCACACTGTTATCACTGATCTGGGAGACAGGCTCCATCGTAACCAGAATCCTGATTGTTCACAATTCGCCATGTATACTCCGTCATCTGTGCTGTATTGCACCCAACTGGTTCTACATTATTTTCCTACAGTTTCTAGAAAGACCCCTTCTACCAATCAAACGCATGGTAAGCAGACAGCAGCAAATCCTTTTTCATTTGACTGAATAATCTGAAATAGAAACTCCAGAGTTGGTACAGAGCAGTAGGAAACGTCTAGAGAGAGCACTAACATTCCACTTTTTCATCACATTTGAAACTCTGATCTAATTCCAGGTTGCAGCTGAAATGCTGAAATACCAAATGGAAATGATGGTCTTTCATAATGTCATATGAAATGTCTTTGCATCTGAAACCCTTAAAGTGCCCAAGATCACATTGCTGGTCGCAGCAGATAAGCAGTGAAGAAGGCAAGTCAGAAGACGACTGGCCAAAAAAAGGGCAGAGATGATACTCTGGCCCCAGAAAATGTAGAAGTGGAGACAGGCAGAGAGCTCAGGGATGAGAAAATTACAGACAAATTTGGGGCACCAAACACGATTCCAATAAATTTTCATGTGTTATGTTAAGAAGCTATCAGCTATTTTAACTAAAAATACACACTATACCTTAGGGGAAAGGGTTGCTGAGAAACAGAATTCATCTACCTTTGGCAAAGAATAATATTGTGCAGCGGTGGGCATCTGGCGTTACACCACCAAACGTCACAAGCCCAAGTGAATTCTTGACAGCACTTAAAGGGACAACTCAGCCCTTTTTACGCCTGGAAATCTAAGTGAGGAACTAATTCCTTAAACACTTCCTGAGTTATAGGTTCTTTAAAATATTTACTTGCTTTTTCTAGCTATGCTTAATGCTGACTGTCTTAACCTCTAAAAACCAACCCATCACAGATTTCCTCATTAACTTATAAAGGTCTCAACACGCTCAGTCTCATTCTCACACACATTCGCACAATCGTATTCTGAATTTTGATATGATTAAATTAAAAATATCTTCCATTTTAGATAGAGCAAATGCTCTAATCTATTGTACATGGATAGGTCAGAAATTATTGTGTATAATGAAAAAATTATGTCACAGATAAAGCCCAACCCAGTGACTGGTTTTCGATATGAAACAAAAAGTGGGCTTTTCATTTATTGTGGGGGATGCCACACCACTGATCCCCAAAGCAAAATAGAGGGCTGGTGGCACATTCCTGCTTTTGATGAACCATGCCAGTGCAGATCCCCCACCAGAGATAGGAATACTTTTTTGTTGTTGTTAAATCATCCTCTCCTTGAACATTTATAAAAAGAAAAACTATCTACAGTAGTGTATCTTCACTAATAGAAATTTCTTCCCAGTTCTATTTCAGAAGGCGTCAAATGATGTTCTTTAAATAAACTATAAATACCCTATATATTCCTTCATGTCTGGCTGTCCCAACTTCTCCCCCTTTTTTTTTTCTTTCTTTTTGGCAAATTAAAAAGGCATATGGCTTCTCGCCAATTTGTATGTCTGAGGTTTAGCTTGGAATCCTGCGGTAAAAGTATATGTATCCCAGGTCTTTGGGGGGCCTTTCTGAGGCACAAACTTTGTGGTCATTGTAGATCACCCATCTGAAAACAAAAAACAGAAACAGTTGATGGATTTAACTCAGTTCCAAGAAACTTTACAGAAAAAGGTTAATGCACCATACTTAAAAGAATCAAGAGGTTTTAAGATAACCAAACTCAAGTTTGTTGTATAAAAAGGAACACAAAGGTGGTGGGAAATTATAATTGCTTTTTTATNGCTTGATTACAAGAAATCCAGAAGAGGCGGTGATTAGAATACCCACTGCCTCCCATTACCCAGGTTGCCACATACAGGACAACCATTTCCCAGATGCCTTTTATTTCCAGACAGACCTGACAATATAGATGAGCAAATGCTTAGTGCGCTGGAATCAGAAATCCAGCCTCACTTTCTTTGAGGTTTCTTACCAGGAGCTTCATAATTACTGCCTTGCAGAATTAAATGATATCAAGTGTGTGAAAAGTTTTTAAGATGAGTAAAGCAGATACAAATTAAAGTGGGTCTTTGTTCTTCATGAAGACCAGTTTGTCAGATACCAACACACACTTCAGGTGGGCGACCTAAGGTGCTAACGAGGGCAGACCCAGCAGGTACTCCTGGCACACAAGCAAGGGTGGATGGGGGACAGGCAGGGCAGCTAGCAGGCCTTTGGACAGTGTCTGTCTCAGCAGTTGACAAACTGTGTTCTCAGGACCCCTTTATACTTTGAACCACTACTGAGAACCTCAAAAGGGCGTTTGTTATATGGGTTTTATTTATCAATTTTTACCATATTAGAAATTAAACTGAGAAAATTTTAAAACATTCATTTAAAAATAAACTAAATACATGTAAACATAAATTATATATTTTACAAAAATAATTTTCAAAAATAATGTTTAGTGAGAAGAGAGTGGCATTCTTTTACCATTTTTGTGAATTTATTTAATATCTTGCTTAATAGAAAGCAGACTCATGTATGTGCTTCTGCATTCAATCTGTTGGGATATCACACATCATTGTGGTCCCTGGAAAATTCCACTGTACACTTGTGAGTGAATGAGAGTAAAAAAGTAAAATAACACCTCGGTATTATTATAAAAATCATTTGGACCTCACTGATCCCCAGGGTTCCCCAGACAACACATTGAGAACTACTGATCTACCTGAATGATAAGAGCTTTCACATAACTTGATTCAACTGCACCTCACCAAAGGTTTTATAATTACTTCTATTCTCCCCATTACATAGTTGAGGAAACTGAGGCTTAGAAAAGATCAGAAATTTGCCTGAGGTTAAATGATGGGATTCAAGCCCAGGTGCTCTGACACAAACTCAAGTCAACCCCAGCTGCTTCGCGTATTTCTATCACTAACAGGAAAAGTTACGACTTCGTTTCTGAGGAGGGCCAGGTGCTGCCTCTTCAACCCTAATTATATAAGTCGCATCTGCGGGTGGATTACGTCTTCAGATCATTCCTGGATTGAGGGAAAGTCAAATGCATCAAAGAGTTAGCAATGGTTTTCCCATTACTCTTCCTCTCCCCCATGACATNAAAAAAAAAAATCCCAGGTTTGAAACCAGAAACCAGGCAAAACCAGTTATAAATGGCAATCATTTTGCCTGGCACTTTTTTGAAATAGTGACTGAGCAACCCAACCCTACTCTCCCTCCCTTTTGCCCATAAACACAAAGAACCCACCCTTACCCCAGTAAGCAAGAGAGGGTGTGGGTTGAGACCTCCTCAAGCTTCTTGACCCTAGTTGGTTTTTAAAGCTCTTTTGGAATAATTATATCAAATTACAAATCTTTATTTTGAGAGATTCTGGTCTCCTAAAATGTGGCTGCTGTCTTAGGATTTTCATGAAATAAACAGAAGTCAAGGTACCCCAATCAAGCCCCCCCCCCAAGGAAGTGTCTTCCAAAACAATGGCTTAAATCGTTGACCAGAGTATTTAAATAGACACTTCCCATCATAAACCAGGGTCCCATCAGTGAAACATTGCTCAGACACTAACAAAACAAATAGAGAAAGGGATAAATCCATTTACCCGTTATACCCCAAAATGGCATTAAACCCCCAAAAGCATTTTTCCCCTCTTGGGTTAAAAGCAATTCGTATGTATACTCAGAATCATAAAAATAAATTAAAGAAAAAAGATTAGCCTACATCTTAGTCCTACAATTAAAATTAACCATGTTTATCAAAACAAGCATCTACTGTATGCATTATTCAAGACCTCCTGCTAGGAACGAAGAGCAAAAGAAATGATCTCTCTCAACACATTTGCAAACACTCATCAGGTAAGAAATCTCAATTAATATTGGTTCCCAGAGAAAAAGTCAATGTTAATAAACCAGAGAAGGAAGCTATGGCTGATTCTTCTCCAAATTCTCAGAGGTCCCCTTCTAAAACACAGCATCATTGCACACACTCCCCCAAAATGTACACACCCCATTCTATGTAGATAGAAAAGGTACGGTGCGGCAAGGTGAACCATTTTCACCTTTCAACAGAAAAACTTCCAAAATATGCTGCAGAAGCTGGACAAAACTACCTAAAGCACTATGCCCAACATCTGGTGAATAGAGTCCCTCTAAACAGAAAGAATTAAACAGTGTCTGAAACTGGCATCCTTCCTCCTCACTTACCTCTCCCAAAAAATCGTGTCCTTTTTTGAACTTAGGAAAATGTTTCCAGCCTTTTTTAACATGAAGAATTTTTTAATAGCAAAATTTTAACACCAACATTCCCACCCAACATAATAGCGATTGTACTCTAATTTTATTCTTTGAGGAAGCACTGTCAGAAAAGGTACATGAAATGTGGNAAAAGAACCTCCAAACGTTTTTAAACCCTTCGACCTCATAATTCTGTTTGCAGAAATCTGTAGTCTCAGAAATTAAATCAAAGAATTATGTACAGTGGTATTCATTTCAGCCTTAGGTATAAAACTAACTAAAAGTCAGAAATAAATAGCCATGCAGTGAACAATTATGCGTAACTATTAAAATGTCTTCAAAGAATATTTGGTAAAGTGAGAAAATAATCACAATATAATATGAAATGAGAAAAAGAAGTTTATAAAATTGTATATATTGTGTACATACTTTAGGCTTTTAGAAAAATTACAAATACATCTGTATATTTATATGTAGTACATGTATATAGACATACACACCCTCTCCCAATGAAAACAATAAAACAAAGAGAATTATATCAAAATATAGACAATGGTTATCTCTAGGCTTCCAGTTGACATATTTTTGTATATTTTCATACTTACCAATTCCATGTAATGACTTTTATTGCTTTCTAAATTATAAACTATTTCTCTAAGTATTTTTAAAGGCACTATCATGCTGGTAATAAAAAGAAGTCACTATAAATCAAGTCCCTGTGCTAACTACTTTATTAATCAAGTGAAAACAAGACTAAAAGATACACCAAAAAGGAACACAATCAAGTGCTGGGTGAGAGCTGATCACTCCTGCAGCACAAGGTGGGGTGAGTGGTCAACATCCTATAGGAGAGGCCAAGATTACATGTTTCTGCAGTGTCCACGTGGCCCAAGCACTGCCTCATGCAGGAGTGTTGGCCCATAGGCTGCTCAGTGGGGAGCTTGAGGAAGAGAACCCAGTGGGCCGTGTGGGGATTCAGCCCAGGGAGAAGGTTCTGAAGAGTGCAGCAGCCTTCTATCACCTCTCTCTCTCATTCACAATTCACCACAGACCTAACAATTCTACTTAAGAAGCCAAGAAGCCTACTGCAAGTGCAGTAATGAAAAACACTGGATGTTCAGGGTTGCCAGATAAAACACGGGATACCCAGTCAAATTTAAATATCAGGTAAGCAGTAAGTAATTCTTAGTATAAGTATGTATGTCCTGTGCAATATTTGAGATACAATTATACTAAAAAGTTATCCATTGTTTATCTGTAATTCAAATTTAATAGACCATCCTGGTTGTTTTGTTTTCTTGGCTACATCTGGCAAGCCTACGGAGGTTCCAAATATGACATACACTCTGCTGCAGGATGCATCTTTATTTGGGGAAGTCAACTTGGTCTGGTGGTTGAGAGTGGCTTTGAATACCAGCTCCGACCCAGCTACTTACTAGCTAAGATCAAGTTACTTAGCCTCCCTAAGCTTTAGTGTTTGATGTGTAAAATGGCTTTAAGAATATATCCTACAAGACCAGTGTGAGAACCAAAGGAGATAACATAAGAAGCACCTAGCAGAGTGCTTGGCACACAGTAGGCATTCAATAAAATACAGATACCACTTACTGTCTAAAAAAGACTCACCTTCCTTCCTTTTTGATGTGGCAAACATAATGGCCACTCATTGTAGATGTTCCCATGTGACTGATGAATGCAAATAATTCGTACACTATGAAAGATGAAAACAATTCAGTTACAAGGCAGCATTTCTAGAAATCAACAGCACTTCTGATCAAAAGGGAAAGCCGACAATAGCGTAAATCCAGCAACTGTTTTAGATTGAAAGGCAGTCTATTTACCTTGCTATGCCGAGAATACACACACCCAAAGTAACACCAAATTCAACCTACAAATTTATAACAAGGCAGGACAGAAACCATCTAAGTACAGTGGACACTAAATTCATATCTGGAAGGGTTTTAAATATCCCATGGGCCAGGCTGATGGCCAAGTTCGCGGGTCTAAAAGGGGAGTCCTGGCTCTATCACTTCCAAGCAGCATGAGGACGGAGAAGCTGTTACATTTCTCTGAGGCCGTTTGTTCACGGAGATGAAAAATCCACCCACTTCACAAGGTTGTATGAGGCTTAAATGAGCAATTCAGACTAAAATACCATATAAATGTCAGGATTATGAGGAAGACAGCAGATAACTCTTATCATTCATAGAAAGGAATAATGCTTCATAATATGCTTCTTATGATTTCTGACTTGTTCAGGATTATAAATTATATGGGACTAAAATTCAGGCTTCATGCTTTCTGAACAAGGAGATATACAGCCTCTTAGAAAGTGAGGCTGACGTGTATCCTATATCAAGTACCTCCTGCCATATAGCACAGTATGCTGTACCAAATTCATACTCAGTGTATTTCAGCTCACATTCCCCTGGCCAAACCTAGACCTACCCAATGCAAAGTGAGTTCCATGGGCTAGTACCGGTCTCCTCTGCAAACTGTTCCAGATTACCATGAGATGGGTACAGGAATTGAGTGAGTGTTTATAAACTTTGATAATAATTTGACAATAGCAGACATGTCTGTTGAATCTAATAAGTAAAAAAAACAGGGCTTGCATATTCATTGTTTCTAGTACTCAACCTTCATCGCATTTTTCAAAGTATTGGTTCTAGACTGACTCTCTGCCTCCCCCGCACCTCTCCCGTTCTTTCTGTCTCTTGCTGTTCACCTATGCTCTCCCGCTTACTCAGCTGGGAATCCAGTCCTCACCTTACTCACCCTTCAGCACATCACACAGTGCGGATCACCTCTTCCTTCCTCAAATGTCTGCCCCCCAGGACACAACTCTCTTAGTTGTCCAGCTGCCTCATTGGCTCCTCCTCATCTCCATGACCTTTGAACTTTGGTGACCTGGGGCTTAGATCTTAGACCTTTATTTTCTCTTTCCTGATTCTCTCTCTCTCTCTCTCTCTCTCTCTCTGAGTGATTTCATCCAGTCTGATGGCATTAAATGGAATTGTTTTCCTAATATCCAGAATGTTCATTGCTAATATATGGAAATACAAATGAATGTTGTATATTGATCTTGTTTCCCACAACTGTGCTGAACCCATTTATTAGTTCTGACAGTTTTTAGTGGATTCCTTAGGATTTTCTACATACAAAATCATGTCATCTGCAAATAGAGACAGTTTGACCTTCTTCCTTGCTGATATGGATGCCTTTTATTTCTTTTTCTTCCCTGATTGCCTTGGCTAGAATTGCAACCTCCTGTTACAATTCCAAGAGTAAACGTCCTAGTCTTGTTCCTGGTCTTAGGGGAGAAGCATTCATTCATCCTTTCACCATTAAGTATAATGTTAGCTGTACGCTTTTTTGTAGATGCCCTTTACCAGGCTGAGGAAGTTCCCTTTCATTCCTAGTCTGTTGAGCATTCTCTTCTCAGTCATATCCACCACAGTCAATGCAACTCCAAGCTTCCAATAACTCAGGACAAAATCTTGACTTCTTTTTCACACACCCAATTCATCAGCAAATCCTGTCAGCATTTCCTTCAACATATATCCAGAATTCAACCACTTCTTATAATACCACCTCCACTAGTGACCCCTGATCCAAGTCACTGTCATCTCGTCTGAATTTTTAAAATGGCCACCTGACTGGGCCCCCTGCTTTCTCCCTTGCCCCCTACCGACTATTCTCAGTATAGCTGTCAGAACGATTTTTAAATCAAAGTCAAGCTGTGGTTATTACTGTCAAAAACCCTCCAGGGGTGGCCTTTATCTCAGAGTAAAGTCTTTCTCCTCTAGTAGCCCCGGAAGTCCCTCCACCTCTTCCCACTCTCCCCCTCACTTGACTCAGCTACTTGGGCCTCCTGGCTATTCCTCAAACACACCCAGCATGCTCTGGCCTTCAAGCCTTTACATTTCTTGTTCCCTCTATCCGAAACTCTTTTTTCAGATGTCATATGACTCACCCCTCACTTCATCCAGGTCTGATATCAAATGCCACCTTCCTGAACCACCGTATAAAAGAGCAACCCTCCCTATATCCCCACCTCCACTCCTGATGTTGCTTTACTGCTGTTCATACAGCATGAAGCAACACCTAGCATGTCACACACTTACTTGTACATTTTTTTTATTGTCTATCTCCTTTTATTCCAGGCTAAAATATAGAGCCATAAAGACAAGAAGTTTTCTGTTTTGTTTACTGGAATATTCCAGGCACAGGGAACAGAGCTTAGCATGCAGAAGACACTTAATAGGTATTTACTGAATGTATAAATAAATGAGTGAATGAAGGAATGATTCTCTTCACTCCATTGCCTTACTTGTTCTTATATCATATTGTATATGCTTTTATAAACCATCCACCAAAGC